GAGAAATATTTGTATAGCTTACATTTATTTCTCTCGTGAGTTTGGTTGTAATTTCTGGTGTCATTTGTTCCCTTTTTTTGATGAAAATAAGTTCGTATTTAACCTCTGTCTTACCTGAAAGTGACGATGAGGTCGACGATCTAGCATGCACGCCTAAATAATGCCTATTCACTCTCGCAAAAAAGGCCCAAATTATACCGTTCAGAGAATAAGCAGGCATAATTTCACTCTATTGCCATATTTTTATTTATTTATGTTTAAAGTAACATAACGTCAAGTTCACAATACGTAAAGTAGATTCGTTATGTCAGTCTTTTAGTTGCCGCCAAATTAACCGAAAAATATAAGCAACCATCCACAAACTTAATCTTTTTTTTACTTATACGGTCGACCTTGTACCTTTATGGTGTCATTGACACGTCGATTTATTTACTTAGGGTTCTTATGTAGGTTTTAAGTTAGGTATGTACAATAATATATAGATTGTACCCTATTTACAAAAGCGACCGCTATATTTTCATTATATGAAAATAAGTATTTCTTTGTATGTGGACAACCTCGGTGACCCAGGCGGTTTGCAATGTGGGCGCTGGATGAAGGAATCCCTGGTTCGATTCCCGGAAAGGCCGATTTGAAAAAATTAACTTTTCTATATACGATTAAAATTGGTTCTAGTCTAGGAGTTCTGGTAAGTGCCCCAGAATGAATTCCGTTGCTATGGTATTCATATACAGGGTATTACCTAGTTTGAGATCAGGCCATGCCAAGACGCTTACAGGTGACTCGAAATTAGTGAAGGCGAAGCTGCAGAGCCTTGAACACCGCCGTAAAGTTGCCTGTTTTATAGGATATATCACAGAGAGCGTGCAATGGAATTATAAGTTTTTAATTTCGCCTTCCTCTTTCCATCACCGGTGGACTACGCGTGGGCTTGGGTTCCACCCATCTTTGGAATATCCACAATATAGATTGTGGATATTACAAACAATTCGCACGAGGCGTTACGCTTCCACATTTATAAGGTGAACGGCTATGGAGTGAAATTCCCTGCCTGCAGGCTTGTTCCTTGAACGTTAAACTTGAAGGCATTATTTAGGTATGCATGTTCCATCGTCGACCTCATCCTCGTCATCATTGTGAGACGGAGGTCAAATGCGCACTTACATTTTATAAAAAAAGAAAAAAAAGGCAATTGTGTAGTGGTCTGGCACATTAACCACGATGTTTGTCCCGTATGCGTGTCCTTATTATTCACCCGATTGCGATAGTTTTATCGCAATCGGCAATTCGTGATTTGTTGTACCTAAGCCCGCAAAAGTTTCTGTAGAAGGGCAACGTTCTTTTAAGCACTTCACCATAATCAACTATAGTTCGGGCTAAACTCGTCCTATCAGTGAGTTATATTCAAGTACTTGTAAAATACTAACAACCTCGTAGGTTTTTCTTTGTTTTTTCGATTTTTTTTTTGTTTCTTTATTTTTTTTTTTCATAAAATTCCGGGAGCATAATTTTAGTAAATAAATACGGCAGTTTACAAAAATAACAGAAAATTACCAAAAAATAAAGTTGCCGTAGTGTTCGTTCAAGGTATTGATATGATAAACTTTTGTTCCATGACTTTTTTCAAATTGTAATAATATACTAAAAAAAAGTTTGAAATTTTTTATAGTACTACCTGACATTTTTTAAATTTGTATTTGGTAGTAAGATAGGAAGTATGAACATGCAAGCGTCCTACCCAACTACCCCTACACCCGCTCCTGCGTTTTGCATCGGACTGGTATTTACGCCCTTTCTTTTGTTACCGCACAGAGTTATCACCGTTTAGAGCGATCTATATAAATATATTTTTTTTATAATACCAAGTCACGGGACGAACAAGTCGTAGTCTAGTGATAAGCGACACGCCTGTCCATAACAGTTGCAGTGCCACCCAGGGCTTTAAAACGCAAAGATCGGAGGAATACTGCCACTGCGCCCGTCACCCTGAGACATGAGTTGACAAGTCCCATGTGCCTGTAATTTCACCAGCACCCTTTCCCTTCAAAACCGGAACACAGTAATGCTGACATTACTGCTTGGCGGCAGAAATAGGTAAGGTGACAGTACTTCCCTGGACGAACTCTTTCACAAGACCTTATAATGTTAGTAATATACTTTTGCAACTTTGTTAATATTTTACAAGTATCCCTGTATATATAAAGGTAGACAGACATACCGACAATTAGTGTGTTCACTTTTAAATATTTAATAAGTTCGTACGCTTTACACAATTACGACAACAATCAGTGAGGTTCGGCCGATAGCACGTACTATCGACCCGTTCCTTATTTAGTAGTTATATAGACTAGATAGTATTTTACGATAACTTTACAATAAATAGGCCATATTATAAGACTGTAATTTAAAAAAAAAACCAGTATTTCTCTATTTGAGAGTTATGTCGCCACGCCTAAGTCCATATCATAATGTAAATTAAATATGCGACATTTCTTTCTATCACTACAACCTTTAATGGAGTGTCAAATCTTCTCATATACCTCTTCCAATTTCTTTCTACTTGACTTACAAATATTGTCCTAATAGATCTTCTAAACTAACGAGATTCTCTGACCCCTTTCATGAGCCTTATCACACACCCCTACAGCCCTTCCTCTGCCACCTCTTCGTGTCCCCAAAAGCCTTCAGTACAAGTGGTGGATTTAATTCTAAATCTAGTTACTGCTTCGTCATACTCTTATTTTCAGGCTATCTAGACAACAAATATTGTATGTAAGTTAGCAATAGAAATTGTGCTGACGTGGTGCAAACTAACCAACCAGTATACTCACAGCAGATATCTTTTTTACCTTCAGAATTTGTGACGCCGGAACTGCCAGTCTAGTTCCTTACTCTTAGGTATCATAACTAGTGATCGGAATTGAGGGAGTTAATTTAGCTAAACCCAAGAATAACGTGGACATACCCTTCTACAAACCCCAGAACTTATTATATTTGATTATGCATATTGCTATCACCGAGGAAGCGATGGCGTGATGAACTGGATGCCTACAACAAAGTTTGAGTCCAGTTAGCTCAGGATCGGGGTGCGTGGCCTTTGCCCAGCAGTGAGATACATCACGCAAATTGTAATTGTAATGCTCATTATTTATTGTAATTTCAGTACATTGGCGCTAAATTATTATTTCCTATTAAGTATTTGCTACAAATTATTGTCTCAAAAAAAAAACATTATATTGTAGTTGTGTTTCTATAGGTACCCACGTATTTCAATACTTTAACCGTTTAAAAATAAACATGAGACAACTTAAATTTTTAACTGTTTAGAAAATAAACGGTAAAAAAAGAAATTTTATACACATTGATGATGAAATGGGTATGTCCATACTAATAACGTAAATACGTAAAACGTAATGTTCGTTGAAATTATCGACATGATAAACTTTTGTTCCATTTACAAATTGTAATTAATTTATAAAAATAAAGTTTTAAGTTTTTATAGTACTATCTGACATGGGTATATCCATACTAATAAAACGTTCATACTTTAGGTACACTAACTCCATCAATTCTGATGACTGATCATAACAGACTAAATTTGTTAATGCTGATATTACAAAAGTAATACTAAATCGCGGCAGAGCACGCTGCTCTAGCATTGTCTTGTGCACCACAAAGTTTTTTCAAATCATCTGCAGTACAATCGCAATGAAACCTGCATGTCAGTGAAGCTTCACGACCTGATCGTAGACTTGTAAAGTTTCCAATCTGCATCGAGTCAACCACGCCATGGGAAACCATGACTTACTATCGAAATAGTTTTAAAACTATTGCTCTTTGCAAACCACGGAATTCTCATAGTGAGATTTTTTTTCCTTGACGCTTATTTTGAGCCGAAGGAAGAAGGTCAAACCAAGGCTTAGCAATAACCAGGATAAAGTTACTAAAACATAATGTAAGTCACTTTATTTTGTTTATCATTAACACAACTTGTATAACACTTTGTAATGTTGTAATTCCCCTTCGGTTATTTATATATTATTTTACAAACAGACACGTGGGTGTAAATAAATCGAGTCCGTATACTGACTCTTGTAACATTTTATAAAGACTTATAACTTATACATATAATTATAGCTGTATATAAAATGGATGTTTTACGTTGAGATTCCAAGCAACAGTAAACCGTTAAATTTTCATATTTTTTAAGTTTATGTATTATTTTATTGCATGATAGATGGTCATATTAATAAAATAAAATAAAAATACTTTAAATGGTGAGCGCAACTAACCTGTGCAAGCAAGCCCGCACAGGGATCTTATATAGCTCAGGTCCTGAACCCAGATCAGCCAGTGAACAGGGTTAAAGAGTAACAAGGACTAAAATAGAACAGTCAGATAATGGAATTTAAACCAATTTATGATTAGAATATTATTAATTATAAATTTATTTGTATTATTTCTATTGAAGTAACAAAGCCGAGCCTACTTCACATTAAACCAACAGCATATTATTATTGTGTAATAAATAACGTAATTTTTAGTCATTTTTCTCACCATGTTTTTTGGCATTTTCCACTCTCTACATAGAAGCCTGTGCAAAATATGTCAACCCTGTTAGAAACAACGATTACAATTCAAATATTTGGTATAACCAATATCACGTTAATATTTCCAAAACTGCCATTTTTGTTCGCATCGCAATTGCACTTAACTGTCTCCGTGGCCGAACGGCTACCACGGCGACTGCCACGCAGAAGTCCCAGGTTCGATTCCCGGGCCGGGAGAAATATTTGTATGGCCTACATTTATATCTCTCGTGAGTTTGGGTGTAATTTGTGGTTATCTATGTGTGTGTCCATGGCACCCGCGACACAGGGTTTCTCTAGTGCGGGGCTATGTTGATTGTGAGCGATAAAAAAAAACTTTACTCCATCCATCGAAACGCCCTATGATTTCAGGCTTTTCTTGTTCTGGCGGTAATGTTGTTATGTGTACAGGATTCCTGCCATCTCGTTGGCGGGTCCAAGTTCTACAAGATGGATGGACCCTCCGCCAATGGTTCCACACCTTCTCCGACAGAAAAACACGACCATATGAAGCCTATTGAAAGCGACGACGAAGGTAAGTTTGTTTTTATGACACCAAAGGACCACGACGTACGCAAATCGCCAGTGTGATAAGGCTCCACGGCCTTATGCAGATAGATCTGTTTGCAATAAAGCCGAACCTTCACCGCTATTTTTCCACTACTTACAAACATCAATGGACAAAACTTACATTAAATTTTGAAACGACTATGTTTTGTAACTTTTTACGTCTAAACTGTTAGTTACGTCCATTTGTAATACATATAGTGGAGGATAGTCATACCTTCAGTACTAAAAGTAAACAATTTTTATTTGGTGGTGCCCTTTTAGAATTTCGCCAGTATCCAGTGTTCCGCTAAGTAAATTTTATCGGTTCCAGTATTAAAAGACATGCACTGACCAATTTACATTCGTATTTATTAAATTAATTGTACAACGGTCAAAGATAGTTTAATTTAAAATATATTACAGTATATATGTAAAATCCTCTGGAACCCTGTGAATATAAAAACGGATTTCAAAAGTTTCATGTCAAATTCATTGAAATGTTTCTTTTTCACTTTTGCGAGTGAAATAAAAAAAAAACATATCTTTTTACGAAACTAGTCATACTCGTTACGAGAAGTTTGTCAAAAAATTATACATTAACTATTTGCCGTAGTACGTACATTGAAAAGAAAACGTTACTTTAAATTTTAATTCGAGTCTATGCCGCCTGCTGTAAGTCCAAAGTGTCAACTTTGATGCGCTCATGACTGTACATTCAATTGTACCATCAAATGTGTTTTACGATATCGAACAGTACACCATATCAACAACTTTCCTTTACAGTGTCAGACGTGGACCAAGAATGCACTGTGTTCAGCGGCGTGAGTTACCTGGGGGCACAGAACATCGCCGACCCCAAGTCGGAGAGCGACATCCAACGCATCATGAAGGAACTTAGCTCTATGCCGGAAAATAGAGATGGCATTGCTGTATCTATATCAATACCCGTATGCTCTCAGGGATTGGTTGTGTAAGTTTTAATAGCCTAACCTCCGGTTAAAAAACCGACCTCAAAAGTCATTCATCCTCTAGTTTACCACCCTTAGAGTTAGAGGTGGAATATTTTCTTCAAATTTAAATGCGACCACTTCTGAGGTGTCCTCTTTCCTACAAGAAAAAAATCATCAATATCGATTCATAAATGGAGGAGTTATTGCGTAACATACATAAAAAAAGAATATACAGACGAATTGAGAAACTCCTCCTTTTTTTGAAGTCGGCTAAAAAATTTGGTTGTTTTCTTTATTTACCTACTTAATGTCGCGCACACTGCTCTGTTTTGGAACCTTTTACAAGGTACATTGGTCCGTGCTTATACTTTAACTATAAGGTTAAGTTTAAGAGGCTAACTTAAAAAAAGAATTAGATTCTAAAGCTAACAAAAGCTTAAAATGTGTACAGGGTGTAATCATTAAGTGTGCCCAGCCGATTATTCCATAAATATAAGAGATATCAAAAAGCTTTAAACGGAGCTCAGCTTTAAGCTTTTAATAAGTAAATCGACATCAATAACTTTTTAAAAATAAAACTGGAAATATACAAAATTTTAACATTAATCGCTCCTATACATTTAATATGACATTCCTTATGACATTCCTAGAGAGGCTTTAGTTTTCCTATTGTAAGAGGTAATAACAAGGTAACAATAAGGTAACAGATAACAAAACAGAATGAAATTTTGCACATTTTCCGACATTTTATACTATTTCTACAAAGAACGAATTAACTGGTTCAGTAACTTGTTTGGATTGGCTCATTTGTTTGAGCAGAAAAAATACCGGCTAACGCTTGACACATTTACAGCGTTAGTCAAGAAATGTAAAGATAATTATCCTTAAATAAATTTTAATCCTTAAAAATAAGCTATGTACAAATAAGATAAAATGCAGCACATCTTACATTTCGTCGGCTTGCATTATCTTAAATATAAATTTGAAATTTTTAGTATATACTACAACATTGTTATATTATTAAACATGATCCAAAAAATATTTGATACTGTTTTCCAAAATCTATTTTTTTATTTTTTTGTATCGTTTACACTTTTAAATTATTTAGTATGAATTGAATACCTTTGTGGTAACAATTTTTTTTGAATTACGCAGTCTAAGGATAACTGCCTCTGTAGCCCAACGGTTACCACGCTGGACTGCCACGCAGAGGTCCTGGTTTCGATTCCCAGGCCGAGAGAAATATATGTATGGCCTACATTTGTTTCTCTCGTGAGTGGTGTGGAGTGAGGGTGTAATTTGTATTTATGTGTGTGTCCACGGCACCCGCGATACAGGGTTTCCCTAGTGCGAGGCTGTGAGTGTGTTGCGTTATTATTATTATTAATAATTTTCTCTTCTTTCAAGGGCCTCCTAAGGTCCAGATTCCCTGGGTCCCCCAGAGCTGCTAATTTTTTTTGAAACTGCTGTTCATTGTAATTCCATAGAGACTCCGAGATCATATTGCAATTTTAATAAAATTTGTTATTCTAATTCTAATGTCAGTTGTATTTGTTGTTGTGTCAGTAGAAAGGCAGTGTTAGCATTTAATCGTTATTGATTGAATGATGCAATTCATTCAATCAATAACGATTGCCTTACTAAAGCTATCATGGAAGTAACTAAATTAACGCACACACTATACACATAGAAATTTATTTGTACGACGAATGAGCGGTATACGGGAAAACTTGTTAAGTTTATGTTATATTGAAATATTTTGGTTTTTTTAAATGCTTTAAATGTAATAAATAAATAAAAAAGTTATTATCGTAATATACATTTATATGTATGTTACGATAACGGCATTTGTGAACCGATTTTGATAATTCTTTTGTTGGAAAGAGGGTATCTCAGATGTGGTCCCATTTAAATTTTAAGAAAATATTCCACCTCTAAGGGTGGCAAACGAAGGGATGACTTTTGAGGTCGGTGTTTTTGGTACTCTGTGCTGTTTTTTTATGTCAAATAATTAGTAGACTACGCCATCGACTCGCCATTGAAGAGCAGGATACTAAAAAAATGCTATATAGCACTTGCGTAGTAGCTCGATGGATAGCCACGGACAAGCTACTACTCTTACGAGTCTATACTACCTCGAATATCTTTGGTTAATCCGCATGACAGTGAAAGTGTTGAAACAATCACTTTGGAAACAATATACAGTAAAATTGAGGATAAGCCTACTATATGGTGTGAAAACACGATTCCTAAAAATTTTCACGATAGAAAAAAAACACAAACATACCTCGAAATTTTACAAGAAAACCTCTGTATACAATAGGTACTTTACCATATACCTTTTTTTTTTGTATATCAACTGAACTAAATAGAACACGTATACTATATGATATACACTTTTCAAATGGCTTTAATTTCGTTTGTAAAAAAATAAATTCTGAAATAAAGCCAGTGTCCCTGCCACTCGACCCAAGCAAAATGAACCGTATTAGTACGGGAAAAGTATCGACTCTTAACTTTTAGCAAAATATGAAGTTTATTGGCTGTCACGATCTTAAACTACCATGATATTAATATTTTTTTAATTACTACATTAGTTTGTTATATGTAATGGTTCGAATCCAGCCAGATCTAATGAATTTTTCTCTGTGTTTGATCATTGTATTAATAATTTTCGACACTCTAACGACACACAACTAAGATGATTTAAAATTAGCAGCCTGAGGCCTTGACTTGGCTCCTCCATCCTCTTAAGCTGACCGTTGTGTTGTCCACAGCCTGTATCAAGCAGACACAAACAGCGTAATGACTCGCTATGCAGTCAACCGTATATCGTTCTACGCGCGCGGCACAGCTGGCTCACCCGTCGCCTCCTGCTTCGCATTCACCTGGTCCCATGGGGAAACCAAGGAATCGGCTGTTTACCGCTGCCATGTATTCAGATGCCACATTGGGGAGGCTGTCAACCAAGTATCAAGTAAGTTTTGTCATAGATAACTAAACTGTGAGAATCACTATCATGACATCATAATTTAACAATGTAACTATCATGCACCCAGATTGATTTACACACTTTACTGTCTTTAACTGATCTGAACTCTTCAACAATAAACTTAACCTTTTATATCCGTGATTTTTTTTTTCAAAGCACTGCACTACAACCCATACAGGTGGTAATTTTTCAATCCTGTATATCACAATATCATTACTCACTATTAAAACATATTTTTTATTAGTTTAATATAAGCAGCGAAACCGCAAAAAGAACAATTGCAATGAGAGTATTGTCATAATCGAGATACCAATTCGCAATGCTAGTATAAAAAAATCAGTAGGCAAGTACAGCATTTAACAAAAGTTATTTCATTATTTCACAACAATTCTGTGATGAACACCTTAATTAATTTTTCTTTTAATTATGTTTTTAATTTGTAAGTACATCTCAAATAAAAATGTGACAACCCCTTAGAGGATGGAAAAAAATAGAAGAAAGGAGCTGCCCTAACGACGGAATGAACGTGCATACCTAACAAAAATTGAACGAACAAATGGCGGATTTCTTTAGTGTCGTACCATAATCTATCGATAAGTCATTATCGACATGCAAAGTCATTATCGACATGTAAACATTTAATTAAAGTAGATCAATATTCCATTTGGGAATATTTTAGGTTATATGGGAATATCCGGGAATGACACATGAATTTTTTAATTTATTGTTTTGCGTTTACAAATACTCAAATATTACGAAAGGTGAATTTGCACAAAATTAATATTTGTCATTTGAGAGTATATATAAAAAAGAGAAAACTTTGAAATATAAATCCTATACCTTTCCAACTCAAGATTCATATTTTCATAGAGAATTTTTTAAACAGATTCCAAATAGTGTAAGCTTTTTTGTATTTTATGCATTGGTATAGAATTAATATCAGTGACTGATTTAAGTAAATCTTTAATACTTCCATTTAATTTTGGAAATAAATGAAAGTAGTAATATTATCAGAAATAATATAATTATCATACGTTTATTTGCTTAATACATGGTATAACAGGAGATGTAACAAGAGACAGTGTTAGTATAAACATGTTTCGCATATTTTAAATAGCATGCAAATGTCTGATTATACAATGTCAATTGACTACTATTGGCCGAGCGCCTTTGATTTGTGCAGAAAAATCGACACTTCTCCGAAGTGAGACAAGTAGTCACGAGGGACTGCGAGTTGTGACAAACTACGTCAAACGAGCTCTATACACGTTAGCGCTCACCTTCACTCGGTCAGCAAGGCGAGTGACACCGAACGATGGCAAGGCAAGGCAAGGCAAATAGGCTGTCTATACGTTGGTATTGGCCTTCACCCGGCGACGTTAGACCAACATGGTCTTTGTATTGCTAGCTTTATAAAATAAGAATTTTTAGTAGTTAGAGTTGTCAGTGGGAAAAAATCGGAAACGAGTGTATAATTTTGTTTTCAGGAACTGAGAACGCCTAGTAAATGAGTCTTGTTTAATCTAAATTAAATATAAAATTATTTACCAATAAACCTAATGATGGAATTGCATTATCATGTAATCTAGTTACATTCAAAGTTATGTTAAAATATGACTCTTCAAAATGAAGCGAATAAATGAAGAGATGGTCTTTGATTCAATGTTTATATTCGGCACTATTATACGGCGGTATGATTTCCAACCATTCTTTTTTCTTTTTTGATTTGTAAGTAAACTTGAAATAGTAAAAATTATAATAATAAAATAATAAAAACCTCGTAGTGAATTATTTAATAACAGAATATCGATAATATGTACGCTTCCAAGAACAACACTATCTCAAAATAATCGTTAACAACAATCATCAAAATATACAAACAGGCAATCTGAAGAAACCAAAGCAAAATGTGGCAAGATTTATAAATAAACTACTTAAATATGTCTAATTACATGAGATATTTGGGCTTTTGTGTGATTTATAGACAGATTAATAACACGTGCCTGAACAATGTTACATTCGGTCGATCTTCGCTTTTTCAAATGCCACATCCCGTAATGCTGCAGCGACGAATTTTTATTAATACTTCGTTGTTCTCACTGACAATATGTTTGTCCATTTTATTACAATACATGCGAATAATTCAATAAAACACTTGGAAAACATTTGTTTTGACAGTTGATGTACTTCCCTTTGACAACCGTATCATGTACCTCATGTACTGCGAAATGGACATGGTTGGCATTTAAGATGACGTTACGTATTTTCGATTCCCGTGTTTGACACAGACCAATGTAATGCTATCTCTTTTGGCTTAAGACGGCACGCAAAAGTTAAACAAAGATAACAATAAAATAAAATAAATAAAAAAATAAATAAAAATAAATAGATAAAAAAGAGATAACATGTTTATGTTTTCAACGTCGAAATGCATCATATACATATAACAGCTGATTTATATATGTCAACATAACATGTCCTTTAGTTTCCATAGTCTAAGGACAACCCTACTCTCCGAGCGAAATGTAGCCATTGATGCGCCCAATAGAGTTGCCCTACTTATCTTGTTATACTATGCCAATAGTTTACATTACTAGTACTCAACGTTGAATTATAATTTAAGTGTCCATAAATTGATACTCGTCTTCAACAATCAACTGTGTAACGTTCCATTTATTATAATTTGCTCCATTTCAACACATTATTGGACACTGAATGATTTGCCCAAATCAAATGATTCAGTTTAGCTTTACCGTTTGGTGCATTGAGACGTACTTTTGTTTCGTTTTTTGCCGTCTAGAGTGACACATTAAAACATACAGTGTAATCTTTGTGTTGATTGCACTAAGTAAATGAAGTTATTTGTTCATTTAAGTAAATGTTTTTTTAGACTTCGAAAGTCTTCAGAAATGTATACAACATTGTAAATTAGTGACTGTAAGAATCGCGGACACACCCACATGTCATCGTCTATATTAACAAAAATCATTATTTACATAATATTCAATTATTTATTGCATCACATAAAGGTAGTTCTTAAAATAGTATAAAATACAGACATGTAACCCTGCAGGGCACCGCAATTTATATTTGACTCATCCTTGTCCTGGATGTCGGTAAAGATATTTAACAATCTCCCGCCAATCATTAAGAACGAAAAAAGTATTCACTCTTTGTTAATAAATTTAAATGTATTTATTTATTTATTAATTATGTTACATTGTGCAAACATATTTATCATTACAGATATAAATCCAAATCGATAATTTCAAATCACATCATTATTAAAATTAATTAATTAATTATTTACTAAATACATTTCATTCAAGTAATAAAACATTTAAACCTTTCAATTTCTTATACCTATTTCTTACATATAGTGTCAAGGGCTACTTCTGCGTATCTCGACATCGAAAAACAAAAAATATCCGTTTCTTTAGAAATTTTATTTAAAAGACGTAAAGGAGTAGTGAGCGGCGCATACTCCAGCGCTTTGGTCCTGCACGGCGGCAGCGCTAAAGTCTGCTGTCGCACGACGCGGCGTAGGCGCGTATTTGGCACGTGGAGGCCGATTGCTTCCAGTATTTGCGGATTGCACAGTAAGCCGCGATAAATTTTAAATACATAAATGACGAGAGCCAAGTTCCTTCGTGTTTCGAGCGTGTAATATCCAACCATTCCTCGGATAAATTGTGTCGGGTACGTATTTGGGAACGTAGGATACATTTTATAAGACCTAAAGTTTAAATTGGAAAAAACATGTTCAAAAGCTAAAATCTAAATTGTCCAAATTTGTATATGCTTTAAGAGAATTAAAAAAAACTACAGACTTTAAAACTGCTTTAACTACCTATTATGCCTTCGCTTACGCTTGGTTAAACTATGCTATAATTCTATGGGGCAATAGCACGGATACGCCTAGCCTCTTCACTTTACAAAAGAAATTAATTAGAATCCTCACAAATATTGCCCAAACAGATAGCTGTAAACCTCATTTTATCAAACATGAAATCCTGACCCTCCCATGTATCTATATACTAGAAGTTTGTAAATTTGTACGAAACCATCAAGACTTATATAAAAACCGTAAAGCCATCCCCATTAAATATACATTACGAAATATAAACAAATTAGTACTACCATATTCAAGATTAAATATGCATTTATCTAGTCCATACACCATGTCAATAAAAATATATAACAATCTTCCGGAAATTATAAAAAATGAACAAAATTTTCTCATAAAGAAAAGTTATTATAATGTAAAAGAGTTTTTAGAAGATAAATTTGGTATCTGAATTTAGTAACTAGTCGATAATAAATATAATAATATAAAGCGGTTGGCGTTGGTATATATCAAATTATTATTATTATTATTAGTAAATAAATAAATAAATAATAATATATTAGTAAGTGTAACAATTATGAGACTAGTCCTCTCTTCTACTATTTGCTGTGCCCTGTTCAGGGTCCATAATTTGATCTCAATATATGTAAAACATCTGTAATGTACATTATGGAATGCAAATAAATAAATAAATAAATAAAGTATGCAAGCCTTAAAAATTTATTTTGGGTTTTTTCAACCATTAAGCTATAAGCCATTAAGATTCCATATTACAGAGCTACTTTCTAATTGACATCTAACTAGCGCTTTATATAGAATTTTTTGTGTCTCTACACTAATAAAAAACTTAGTCTGTTTTTGTACAAATCTTAAACTGCGATACACTTTTTTACAGAGTTTAGTTATATGCTCACGAAATGTCAAGTCCTTCGAAAAATACAGTCCTAAGTCACGCACTGAATCTATCCTATTTCGGGCCGTTCCATCAATCGTATACTCGTATATGCATGGATTATGTGCACGTGTATACAAGACATAAGGTTACATTTAGATGTGTTGAATAGTAATTTGTTCTTTTGGCTCCATTCGGTCACACTGTCTATGTCTTCCTGTAAACGTTTCCAGTCCTCGGCGTCAT